AAAAAAAAAAAAATTAAACTTCTACCAAAAAGATCAGCGTCTTTTTTTTTTTTTCTGCTTTATTTTACTTTTTTTTTTTTTTATAGCTTGGGACGGAGTTATTAGTTTATTTCTTTTTTTTGATGCTCTGATTTGTTATCACTCATCTTTTTTTTTTTTGCTTTTTATTTAACTTTAATTTACTGATATTGATGGGTGGATTATAGAAGTGTAGAATTCGAATTCACAACGGACAACAGACAAAGGTGTAGATAAGCTGAAGGGGAAACAAAAAGTTGCGTGGGATATGACTTCCATGTGTTTGGCTCATGAGGTTAGTATTATCCATGGAATCATTTCAATATTGGCTTTTTTGTTTAGCAAAATTTTTTATGTTTTTTATATCTTTTTTTTGTTTATTTATTTCGTTTCTTTTTGTAATGCTTCTTTTGGAAGCTCGCAAGAAAAAGGGAGAACAAAGAAGTATTTGTCATTAAACCATAAACACCGTCTCTCTTTTTGCTCTATTTTTTTCACCAGTAGCAGCGCTGAATGCTTCTTGCTAAAAAAAAACCCAAATTTTTCTTCTTCATCTTTTGCTCGTTTTTTCCTTTTTCAAACAGTTGAAGAGAGAGGGTTTTTATTCTCGTTTTATACGTCAATTTTAAATTTCGATTTTTGGGCCGATAAGGCAATAAAACATTGAAAAATGAGTTAGTCAATAGAAGTGAAAAAGACAAGAAGGGAAGAAAGAAGGTGTCAAGCCATTGAAATTTTTTTTTATTGATATCAAAAGCCTCTTTTTTTTTAGTGGAACAAAAGAGACTTAACAACGTTGACAACAGTCTATGTAATACAAAAATTTTTTCAAGTGTCATCATTGAAAACTGAATTTTTCATCTAGAAAAAAAGAAAAAGAAGAGAGAATCAGGTAGGAGTCAAAACGATTACTAGTTAAAATACTGGGGTTGAATAAAGGTTACCGACAGCAGGGGGTTATGTGAACAAGAAAAACAGTGTACAGCGAACAACAAGAATTGTGCATTTGTATGATGTAATTGTTTGGGACGAGACCGATCCCTCGTTGATGTTGGTTTTTTTCTTTTGCTGTCATCAGTTAGAAGTTATGGTTTGGGTACATTTTGAATTGTTCAAAGCAACAACTGAAAGACTTTTAATTGAAGTACTTGAGGTGTTGAAAGTCTGTATGAGTCGCTAGGGAATTTTTTCGCCAACTGATCATTGGTTTTTTGGGTCAAATTTCTAAATTGCAACAAATATCGGTTCAGTTTTGTTTGATTTGATCTGCTCTCACCTACTGCTTACTTTTCATTTCCGTACAGACGACAACAAACGCGGCAAAAAACATTGAACGCCAACGGTGAAAAAACAGACTCAGAATGCTGAGAAATTAAGTAGAGCGGCACTTTTTTTCTTATTTTTGGTATTCCATCCAAAACACTTAACGATTAATAATAAATGAACAGAAATGGTGGGGCAACAAATTAGCTACTTTAATCAATTTTCCTTTTTTTTCTTTTTGTTTTTTTTCAGTTGTTCTTTGCGTATGAAACCTTTTTTTCGTTTTTGCTAACAAACTGAATTGAGCAGAAAAGTTTGAAACAAAAACAAAAACAACAACAACAGCAAAAAAAAAAGGTATGGGACTGTTGTTTGAT